TGGACAAATAAAATATGGTATATGCATACAATGGAATGGTTTCATTTAAAGGGGGGGAAATTAAAAAGGAAGGAAATCCTGATACATGCTATAACATGGATGAACCCGGAAGTCGCTATGCCAAGTAAATAAGCCGGACACACAAGGGCAAATATCACATGATGCCCTGTATACGAGGTATATAGAGTGGCAAATTCATAAAGACGAAAGCTGAATGGTGATTACAAGGGGAGAGCTTCAGGCTTGCAAGATGCACAGTTCTGGAGACGAAGGGTGGTGATGCCTCCAGCCTCCTGTTTGTGACATTGGGCATTCAGAGGTCCTGCTGGCCCTCTTCCTGTGTAAATTCCTGATGGCCTTCCCAGGTCAGAAGCCCCTTAAGGGAAAGGGTTGTATCTCCCACAGAATCTTCAACAGAGCCTCACAGGGATCGCGTACAACTTTGGATGACTCAAGCATTACACTAATTCGATACTAGAAAATCAGGATTGAAGGAGAGTTGAAGGGTGTTGAAGGTAAGAGAAGACCGAACGAGGAGTATCTTGTTCAGTAAACTAAAATGTTTAATTATTTTAAGAACTTAAAAGTGGGAAGTCGTGTTAGTTAAAACTCTTTCAGTTACAAGCTGTAGAAACCAAGTTCAAAATAGCATCAGTGAACCAGAAGAAAATGAAGGTAGAGGAGGAGAAGGAAGGGAGTTGGGGAGGGGAAAGGAAACGAGAGAAGACGAAAGAGAACACCACAGGGTTGTCGTTGATGCATGCAGTCTCTCGGATTTAGCTGCTCTGGCTGCTCTAGGCATATTCTATTCTTGTGCCTTGCAATTCCAGAGATAATTCAGTACTTCCTCTCTGCTCTCTTTTGCAAAAATATTCCAAGGATGCATTCCGTTGACCAACTTGTAGGTCTTCCTTGAGTTAATCGGTGTGGTCGGGGAATGAAGGATCCTGATCAGCAAGGGCTTGGGTCATGCACCCCGTCTGAGTATTTTTGACATCACATACGTCCATTGGTTTATTTTGTTTTATTTTATTTTAGCCAAAAGGAGCAACAGATGAACTCCAGGGGAAATTCCTAATAAAGGGACTATTAAAATCACACTCCCAGCAGGGCCTCCAGAATGTTAGGTCAGGCCCGCTGAGGTTGTGGGTGTCTGGCATGCAATCTGGTGCTGCGAGAAAGATGCAAAGAATTGCACAGAAGTTAGATAAGAAAATATAGTTGATTTTGAAACTAAATAGAAAGGGAGGGGAGATTCACCTCCCCAAGGTAGGAAAGGGGGCCAAAGCTTAAGAAAACATGGCTGGCCATAGCTCAAAGAGCACATGGCCACACCATAGCTTAGCAAGGCAATGGCCTGGCTGCTTGTGGTTGAGTCTTTTTTTTTTTTTTTTTAAATAATAAAGATGTGGGGTACAATTCAGGGTTAGGAAAACAAACGTTGATTATGCAGGTACCTTTGTGGATGAGGTGTGCTCCTCCCTCCCCTGGCAGTTTCCCTCAACTGCCAATCCCACCCCCCTCCCCTGGCAGTTGGTTGAGTCCTTTTAATCCGTCCTTTTGATGGGGGAAGGTCATTAAGGTGATTGGGTAGTGGTCTGCTCCATATCATCATAATGGGGCAGGTAAGCACAGGTACTGACTTCAGGTGATGGACAGCAGGTGGGTGGGTTGGTCTCATGCTTGCTGCCATGGTGGTGGGCTAGTTGGGAGGAGACAATGGGAGGGGTTTTTCTGGAAAGAGACCTGTCAGACATTTCCAATCCACAAGCTCCTTAGCAAAAAGGTGGTTTCATTATCATTTCTATGCTTCCACCAGCTAAGGGGTGATCTTTGACCTTCCACCTTTGACAAGGAACCTGAAAGTTTCTTAGACATTATTATGCCAAACCATGAATTGAAAAGTTGGGCTGTCCTTGTCTTGCGTCTGATGGAGATTTGCCGAGGAGGTGGGGTAGACTGTCAGCTTGGCCTGCAGTAAAATGTCTGAACACTTCCTAAAACTTGCCTATTGGAAATTTAACTATCTACATCTAACCTGTGCTGGATTCAAAGGATGTCAGTCTCAGTAAAAATGGTTATACTGAGGCAAAATGTGAACTAAGTTTATTCTAAGTTTCTCAGGGTCCCTCCTTTCACAGACCCAAAGTACAAACTCTTGCTTTTGGAGACTACAGTGCATTCCTTGAGATCAATTCTTTCAGTAATTATTTACTGAGCACCATGATACTCTGCTTTGTTTGCTCTTGAGTGACTCGTGTGGTATTTATAATTATAGCTCTTCACAGAACACAGTAAACATGAAGTCACCACCCACCTTTCAGTTGGTCTACAGTGTCCACTTCAACTTGGCCTGATCATTTAAGAATTTTTCATTCTCATTCATGATATTATGATACAGTCAGACATACTTGGTTATTTAAACACCTATTATGCCTTTTGCATGAGACTAACTTAATTGTGAAACATGAACTGTAGCCTAACGATTAGGGCTTTTGTTGGTGGTGATGGTTTGTTGGTTGATTAGTTTTTATAAGCCAGGTGTTGTTGAACAGTTTTCTACTTGCCAGATTTTGGATTGACCTCAGTTTTTCAAAATTAGTGTAAATAACAAAAAAAAATCACTAAACACTAATTTTTTGGAAAAAAAAGTATATAGATTATAATTAAAATCTAGATTTAAATAAAGTTGTAATATTTTTATGAAATTAACACACTTCTAGAATTATGTTTGAATCAGACTAATTATAGGATATTAATTGAAATGCTATATTAATCACACTGCAGAAATAATGATTAAAATTAGGAAATTTAAAAAATAATTTCTAAAGATAAACATCATTGAAAATAGAAATCTTTTCTCAGTAAATTTGGAATTACATAAAAAATTATTCTCCTCTTAGCGTAACTAAGGTGATTTATCCCTTCCACTGAAAACTACAAAAACAGTATCTTAACTATAGCAAAAAGATGGATATCTACTCCAATTTGAGACTGAACTAGACTTACTTCTAAATAACACAGAATGAGGCTAGGTGCAGTGGCTAATGCCTGAAATTATAGCATTTTGGGAAGCCAAGGGAGGAGGATTGCTTGAGGCCAGGAGTTCAAGACTAGCCTATGCTACATAGCAAGACCTCATTTCTATAAAAGAAATAAAAAATAAAAATTAGCTATGCACGGTGCTTGTAGTCCCAGCTACTTGGGAGGCTGAGGGGGAGAATTGCTTGAGCCCAGGAGTTTGAGACTATGGTGAATGGTGATCGTGCCACTGTACTCCAGTCTGGGCAACAGAGTGAGACCCCCCAACTCAAACAAATAAATAAAATAAATAAAGCAGAATGGAAAGGAGAAAATAGTAACTTTACAGTGGAGAAGTCTGGCAAACACTGCCTGAACAAAGCGATCATGGTTAATGAAAACAATGATATCATGTGGATATAATGTACCCTAGATATGATGTAATAAGAAGGGTACTTCACCTCTGTGAACTTTTTCCAAAAACTCTAACCCCAGTCTAATCATGTGAAAATGCATCAAACAAACCAAACTGAGGAACAGTCTACAAAATGCTTTACCAGTATCCCTGAACACTGTCAGGATCATAAACCACAAAAAGTCTATGATTTTTTTTGCATGCCTGGAACATGATTCCAGTTTTTAATGTTTTAAGTTATCATTTATACCACTGTAATGACATTATTATCTTAAATCAGTTATTCTCAAATTCCTGGACATTACAAATATCTATGAAGTGTTTCACATTATAGATGGCTAGTTCTAATCCAAAGATCCCAACATTGTAAGTCTGGGCACCATTAATTTTAATTTATATGTGTCAGAATTATTAAAACTTCAAAGTTAACAGAATATAACCTAGTGAATTGCCTACTTAATTTGTATTGCTATTTCCTTCTGAGGTTTCTTCAGTGCTTTAGTGCACACTTGGGACTTAAGAAACATCACTTAGTTGAATGACTTACAAGATTGAAGAAATTTAATTACTTAACTTTAAAATGCAGATTCAAATGCACTTTCAGTAAAATTAATGTAAACAGAATACTATTGCTTAAAAATCAATTGCAATCGAAGGAAAAAATTGAAGAAACATAACAAATTTTACTATAGAGGAAACAATTATAAATTCTAAAACTTCTTCTACATAAATTTGTTTAAATCTCCCCATATAAAATTTCTGTTCATTATGCATATTATTTGAAGGATGCAGTGTTCTGAACTGAAACCAATACGTATTAAAATCTAAGTGGCTAATTTTAATATAAGATTTCATATACAATTTCTTAAAGATTTCTTAAGGAAACAAATTGAATCACTTTTGAAAATACGAAATTATACTATTTTGAACGATAGGACCAAGTTTGGACTCTTATTGGTTAATGTTTAGCTATCTTAAAAGCAGTTCTAACAGTTTTAGAAACGCTTAGTGTTGAAGTAGTGAAAATTGGGATTGCTACTCCATTATTTATGATCACCTTATTGTTCTTCGAGTGGCATTGTGATAGCTGCTGTAGGTATAATGTAGTAAGGGCAATGATATAGACTAAGCTATTGCCCTTAGTAAAGAGGTAGCTACAATTTCAATGCTGGGCAACAGCCAATGAGGAGAGAGTAGTAATAGGCTAATTTTAGTGCTAACTAAATTAACTGAAAGTTAACTGATACAGAAGAGGTCCTGATGACTGGCAGTAGTCCTAGTAAGGTCAAAGTGGTAAGATGGCAGGTGTCAGTTCCGTTTCAGGTTAAGAGGTGGAGATTATAAAGAAAGAAAGAGAGTGATGAGCATTGCTGCTGTAGGCTAAGAAGAAGTTATAGTAGCTATAAGTTAAGTGGAAACGGCCGTGATTGTAGATTCAGTTGAAGGGAAGGTAGTTGTGGATTCAGTTGAGAGACTCTGGAAATGGTGGGTGACTGGGTTGTCAGCTTAGTTCAGGTTACATTCGCACTTGGTGTGGTTCAACTTGTAACAGTTGCAGAGCCTGTCAAGGTGGTGGCGGGTGTGGTTCATTCAAAGTGGTAGAGGCAACGGTTGTGGCTGCAAGTTGAGTTGAAGTGTTAGAGGCTGCAGTTGCACTTGAACTGATGGCTGCAGTTGCTGTAGACTCTGTCGACGGGGTGGCGGTTGTGGATTCACCTGAAGTTGTGGCAGTGGCAGTTGTGGGTGTCGGTTGAGCCGAAGTTGTGGAGGCTGTAGGTTGCATTGAAGTGACGGCTGTGGCTCTTGTGGTTGTAGTTCCAGGCGTGGTATTGGTAGACCCCGTAGAGGTGGTGGCCCCTGTGGGCTGAGAAGTAGTAGAGGCTGTTCCAGGTACAATCACCACAGGTTGTCCGTTGTTTGTGGGTAGCTGGATAACAACGAAGGAAGCGTCATGTCCTTTCCTGTTGACCAGGCATACGATGAGCACCCCGATGGCTGTTGTTATCACACAGGCTAAGACACAAGCCAGGAACACTTTCCACAGAGACCAGTCGTTGCAGCAACTGGCTTTCACCTAAGAAGAGTGTAGTAAAAATATCAGCGGTGAAGAACACAAACAGCCATGCTTTATCTTTTTTGTATTATTTAAAGCTTACTGTGTGAACATCATTGGAATCACTGCGGGTCTCTGAAGTTCAGGCTTAAAGGACAGGTTTTTATCCAGGTGGACATAATTGTATGCTGTCCCTAGCGTTAGAAGAAAGACAAATCTACCAAAATCTCATCTTCTCTTATTCTATTTTTTAGTAGAGGGGCCTTGTCTTTTCTCTTTTTAATAGACTTGATTTTGGAGAGCACTTTTAGGTTGATAGAAAAACTGAGCGGGAGACACAGAGATTCGCCATACACCCCCGCCATCACACGTAGGCCACCTCCCCCATCTCGCCTTCCCCCTTGCTTGATGAAGCTATGATGATGCATCATTATCACCCATAGCCCACAGTTTATTTTAGGGCTCACGCTTGGAGTTGGGCATTCTGTGAGTTTGGACAAATGTATAATGAAACCTTTCCATCCCCATAGTATCAGACAGAGTGACTTTCCTGCCCAAGAAATTCTTTGAATAAAATGCTTTTGTATTCTACCCTCCCTCACCCCTCCCCCTTTGTCTTTTTTCTGTGAGTAGAAGAGTACTTTTTTTAAAATTTTATTTTAAAGACGTGGGGTACACTTCAGAATTAGGTACACGAGTGGTCATCGTTCAGGTGAAGTTTGGGCCTCCCTTTGGTCCCCAAGAGTACTTTTTTTTTTTTTAGTTGGAGTCTCACTCTGTCGCCCAGACTGGCGTGCAGTGGCCACTCCCGGCCACCACAGCCTCGACCTGCTGGCTCCGGCGATCCTTCCGCCTCAGTCTTCCAAGTAGCTGGAACTACAGGCACGCGCTACCACACTCGGCTCATTTTTTTTTTTTATTTATTGTAGAGATGAGGTCTCACCAAGTTGCCCAGGCGGGTCTCGAACCCGCGGGTTCAGGCAATCCACTCACCTCAGCCTCCCAAGGTGCGGGACTACAGGCTGAGCCACCGAGCCCGGCTCCCAAGAGTACTTTTAAATGGCTATTTCTCTTTCGTGCACTTCATTCTTCAGTGGCCATTGTCATGGACATCACCTCCTCAAGAGTCCTGTCCCTTAACCACTGTGCTCTCTCCTTCCAGCTTGTTTGTTCCATGATTCCACTGTGACGTTTCTTCCGTCTGGTTGAAATCTTTGCTTCTGCAGCCCTACTTCACTCACATTCCTCCCCCGTCACCTTTTGTTGGCTGGCCCGTTATTTCAGTAGCCCTCATTCTAACTTCTTAGAATCTCTTGCACTTCTCATCTTCTCTATCTGCCCTCTCCAGACTTCTCTTGGAGCAGCTCACTGTTGGGGAAGGTCAAGCGTCTGGGCAGATTCGAATCAATATAAATGGTTGATCCTATGAGTCTTCTTTTTTTTTAATTTTTAATTTTAAAGATGTGGGGTGCAATTCAGGGTTAGGTATACAAATGTTCGTTATGCAGGCACTCTTGTTGATGAGATGTGTCCTCCCCCTCCCCTGGAAGTTTCCCACGACTGCCAATCCCTTTCTTATAGTATTTTGATAGTTGTTCAAGGTGCGCTTAGGAGTGAGAACAGGTGTTACTCAGTTCTTTGTGTCTGGATCACATGAGTTTTCTGCACTGGTCTACCATGCTATTATATTTATCTGATTAAGATACTTCCTCATTTTAAGAATATTTTCTCAACCATCTTTGAGTTTCTATTTCATCAAGTATCATCTGGTGATAAAAATGACTTGTAACTTACAGGATTCCCTCAAGGATTTGCAAAACTGAATTGCTTTGTTGACTGAAGTGTGAAGTGCTCAGATTATCCTTTTGCCTCAGCCTCCCAAGTAGCTAGGACTATAGGTACATGCCACCACAGCTGGCTAATTTTTTTGCACTTTTGTAGAGACGAGATCTTGCAGTGACACCTAGGCTGGACTCAAACTCTGAGCTTAAGCGATCCTCCCACATCAGTCTCCCAAAGAGCTGGGATCCACCACCATGTCTGACTAATTTTTTTAAATTTTTTTGTAGTGATGAGGTCTCACTGTGTTGCCTAGGCTGAACTCAAACTCAGGCTTAAGCAGTCCTCCTGCCCTGGCCTCCCAAAGCACTGGGATTACAGGCATGAGCCACTTTGCTTGGTCAATGAAAATGAATTACTTAACTCGGCAAACAAGAAAAAATATTTTCTGACTCCACTCTACTGAACTCATTCATTCTTTCACATTGCCCAGAAACAGTGTAAAGTGTGTGTGTGTGTGTTTTCTTTTTTTTTTTTTTCCAATCAGGTATCAAGAAACAAGCTCAGATGCCCTCTACTGAGTCTCTATAGTAAGATTAAGTAGCAGAGGGAAGAAAGTCCTGAGCCCAGGGAACCTGACCAAACTGTCATGCCAAATCAGTAATTTATAGTCAAGGTTCTATACAAGAGGTTGAATACTTAGAGATATAGTCATGAGGTAAAGTTAATTCAGCAACAGGACAAGAGGTCAGGAACCAAAGAGAGCTGAGTCTGGTCTCCAATGCCAGCAGAGAAACTCCAAAAAACAGTCAGGTTTCTGTGTCTAGTCATCTACACCAAAAGTCAGAACCCAAGGAGGTAAAGAAAGTGCCAGGTTCAAGGCCTGCATGCTGTAAGAAAATAAGATTATCACCAGCAGAGTAGGACCCATGAAATTTTGAACATGACACAGTCTCCCATCAGAGTCTAAGTGGTGAATTAATCCCTAATATCATCAACACACTAATTCCCCTACCCCTCCCTAAACTTGCATTTGCACTTTACACTATTCCTTCGATTTTCATATATGTTATCTGTTTAATGTGGATATCTGAGTCCCCCGTTAGATCACTGGTGAAAACAGAGACTGTCAAATGTTCTTCTTGTGAATTGCCTCACAGCGACTTGCAGTTGCGCTGAGACTACAACAAATGCTTAGCATAAATTGTACATGAATTAAGCAATTAAATACATTTCTTGGGCAGGTAGAGACAAAGCACGTCCCCATAGACATCCCCACCTGAATATAACCTCTATGCTATTACCTGTGTGGTGGGTAACTTTGGTTGGAGACATCTTGAATGTGTAAGTACTCCTGGGCTCACGCAGATCCCGGTTAAATTGGAGGAAACATCACTGGTTATGTTGCTTGAAGGTGGACACTGGCGTGTCGTGCTGTGGACTTCTTGGTCCTTTGAACATGTGATTGACTATGGAGACAAAGTGGAAATTAATAAGATGTCATGGTGTGGATTATTAAAATAAAACCACCCTGTCAAAAATACAAGAGTGGCTTTTAAAAAGAGTAAGAGTGTTCTTATTATTCTCTGAAGACAAGAAGACCAACACAGGTTATGACATACTACAGTTTACTTACGGTAAGTTACTAAAGTTCCAGTCCAGGAATGTATATCCTCACCCTCATCACATTACACAAATGTACTGAATCCCCTCGTGCTGCAGGCATCCATGGGTGGAGCACATATATTTGAAGCCTCATTAAGAAACAGGATGGGGCAGAAGGATTGCCGGAGCCCAGCAGGTCGAGGCTGCGGTGGCCGGGAACGGCCACTGCACTCCAGTCTGGGCGACAGAGTGAGACTCCAACTCAAAAAAAAAAGAAATAGGATGGTAGAGCTGGAAAAATCCTTGCATCTTACCAGGTATGACTCATTTGGGTCATTTTGGAAATAAGAATATTGAAGCAAAATGAGTTGAAGTGACTTGCCGTCATGATACATTGGCAAGCCCTGGAGCTCAGACTTATCCGTGTGAAGGCCCGTGAACTTTCCACTACAATGTACTAGGTATATGTTACTGTTTATGCTATACTGTACTATGCTAACATATTAATACAGCATATATTGTACTACATGATACTAATGCCAAATTCCCATGCAAACATGTCAAATTAGAATTGGATGTAGTAATTGGCCCAGTAGGAACTATCATTAAAAATATGAAAAATTCAGTTGGTAATGGACAGTAATTAGCTGAGTCAGTTTTTTCATAGTTTGTATGATTCATACTGTACTCTAACCAATGAAACTTGCCAGCCCATGACAGGGACACAGAAGACAAATCAGTTTGCCATATGTTTTTGCTGGGTTACACAGCAGTGTAAAAACAGTCCATAACAACAATAAAAAAAAGTCCCTAGTCTCAAGGAGCTTATTTGCTAGCAGTGAGGCAAAACAGATTTGTATATATTAACCAATAAATGCAATAATTGTAAAATACTGTTGAGAAGAAGGGGTGAATAAGTACTTAAAAAGAGTGGGTTTGGGGGGAAAGAATTTGGGAAAAAAGTGTGTCAAAAGAGGGAAGGAAAGAGATAAAGTGAAAGTGATAGAGGAGCAAGTTCAGGAAGGTGTGGATCTTGGGCAAAAGTTTAGTTACAAATAAAAAATAATGTAGATATCTTCATCTCACAGAATGATCATCATTACTTTCTAGCTATGAACCAAAGCCATCTCTGGATACTCTTTAATCTGATTCAAAAGGAAGATACTAAAATCTTACTTATAGATTTTCTGTAATGATGAATAAGTAAATAGCTGCAAAATGCTTACAGCAATGTCTGGTGCATAGTACGCATACAGTAAGTGTTAACTATCATTATTGCTAGTAGCGGTAGTATTTTCATTACTACTGATACTACTACTAGTTGTCTTTTATCGTGTTGATTTAACAACCCATTACTAAATAGTTATAAAAATTTCTGGTCAACCAACAAGTGGGTCCCATTAAATGTGTCAAACAAGCCTTGAATGTAGTAATTGACCCATTAGGAACTATCATTTAAAATATGAAAAATTCAATTGTCATTAAATATAGATAAGACGGAATATAGTTGGCAGTAGACAATTAGCTAAGCTGGTTTTTTCCATAAGCATACTATCAAAGAAATAGATATCAGCTTTATGTTTTATTCATTATGATCAAACAAAATTTCACCTGTTATTAATTAGGCAAATCTGAAGAAAATTGGACTTATCATTGTTAACACTCCGGCTTATTTTCCTAAGTGCTAATCCAATTTGCCTGTGACTGATAAACATTTTAATACACTTTGTAAACAAAGTTTTCAAAAGTTTCTGGCCCTGTTGGAATCCCAGTCCTTTTGAAGAGGAAGGTATGGATAGGTCTATGCTATGTGCAAAGAATCTGTGATCTTGGCCCAACTTTGGAATAATATTGCAGTGTGAGTAATAATTTTACTATTTTAGTTGTTCTCTTAGTCCAGGCAGAGTCTATACAAAATTAGAATAGTTGGAGAGCTGTAAATAATGTTTGATCTGATAATTGCCATTACCTAATAAAGGTCATCGGCCACTAAAGTGTACTAGCTGTATTTACCAAAGGAAGTTCTATACATTTTTTCCCCAACTGTATAAGGATTAATTTAAGATATCTTGTCTCCCTCACAGAAAAACCAAACACCAAAATTTATTTTCTGTTTTTTTATAATATTCAAATAATCTTTAAATTTGATTATTGACTCGAGTCTCAAGAGAAAAATGTTTTTATAACTCTGTCCAAATATCTAGAATAAAGTGAAATATTTAGTCAACTACCTAGACACTTGCTATAAAAACAACTTAATATTTGTAAACATCTTTGTATTTGTTATTACTAGAGGAACTATCAAGATGATGAACACCTGGCTACAGTGAATTTCTTTTCCCCACATTTGGGTATTGGGACATCTTGAAGATCCAGTCACAGAGTGATGGACTCAGAAGTGACAAAGAGAACAGCTGAAGGAGGATTCTTTAGTAACTCAAAACGACAGACTTCTTGGCTTTTGGTGAATTGGGAATCCTCCATGGGATAATTTTATGAACACTTACTGAGAAATAGAACTTTCTCCTTAGGTTTATCTTGTAAGGGATTGACACACTTTTTAAACAAAGTAAAACTCACTTACCAGGCTGGTTTTCAGAATGTTCTGGCCCTGATGGAATCCCAGCCCTTTCAAAGGGGGAGGCATAGGTTGATCTATGTGTGGAGAATCTGTGATCTGGGCCCAGCTGTGACTGCCATGGCTCACATGGCAAAGGCAAAATATTTCTTCACACGCTTTTCAGTGATTCTTCAGGCACTGAATGTTAACTTATCATTTTAATTTTCAACACATATCCTTTCTTGTTCTGATATCAAAGGTTATTTGGTCGGATATAGCCAGATAGATAAAAATCTTTATATGATAAAGATGTGATGTGATGACTATATGTGCTTATAATAACTAGACATGAAGGCTTGGTTCTTGGCATATACATTTTTAAAACAGACAAAATAATTATATTTTTACACAGTAAGTATTTTTAGAGATTTTTTCTTAAGCCTAAAGACAGTATCTAGAATTAATATCTAGTTTTCCAGCATTTTTGGAAACATGAGTTCTGACAGGTCTAAAAATTAGACATAAAAATCAAAGCATAGAATTATAAAAACAAAACAATAAATAAACCAATGACATCATTGAAACTTATGTTACATGATAGTAAATACAGAAAGTCATATGTATTTATTTGTATATTGTATGATCATAGAAGCATTCATAATATTTTACATCTTTAAATACTTAAATTTATATCTAAATATAGCATCAAAATAGAACATGAAATTTAAAGGAGAAAAATTAATACAGGATTGCTCTTTCTTCTGGAGATTGCGAGATTATGACCTTCACTACATAGTAGTAAAGAAATTATATTGCTTTCAAGTGCTGAAAATGAGACTGTAAGACAGGCAAACTATCAAAATGCAGCTGCAACACTCACCGGCTGGTTTTCTGAAGGTTCGACATTCACTACATATTTTCCATGCTTCCTGTCCATTCTTGAGCTGCCAATACCACAAGCTTAACTCCAAGAATACTTGTCAATTGTTCACTGCCCTTTATATCTGCAACCATGAGAAATAATTAAAACAACTGGTGGAAAATCAACTATGATGCATCAGTACAAGTGCGGATTAAACTCAATAATAAATAATTATTCACTAAAGTAGGATCCACCTCAGAGGAGGAAATGAAGTGTTAATTACAGAAAGACACAAGAAAACCAATGCTGCCTCTAAGAGCTATTGTGACTTCCCCCTCTGAAAATCTAATATAATTCTTCCTTCTATTCTCTTTGGTTTCATCATTCAGACATCTGCCTTCTATTTCAGGACCAACCCAAGAAAAAAGCTGAGGTAGAAGTTTGCCATTGCTTTTTCTCTGCTCAAGCAGGCATGCCTTCTCTCGTTCTGTTGGCACCATCTCTCAGGCACCCCTAGCTTTACGGACACTTCTCCCTTTCAGTTCCTGGGTTGGTGTCTGGAAATCTACTTGGTCAGTTATTCAGGTAATTCAAATTAAAAGAATTCAAATCATGAGTTCTACCTGATTTTTTTAGCCCTGTATATGTGTGATCTTTATCTTTCTGTGACGGGCTTATTTCACTTAACATAGTGTCTTCCAGTTCCAACCATGTTGTTGAAAATAACAAGATTTCTTTTTCTTTCTTTCTTTTTCTTTTCTTTTTTTTTCTGAGTCTTGGTCTCATTTTATCACCTAAACAGGAGAACAGTGGCAAGGTCACAGCTCACCACAGCCTTGACCTCCTGGGCTCAAGTGATCCTTCTGTCTTAGCCTCATGAGTAGCTGTGATTATAGGCATGGACCACAGCCTGGCTAATTTTTTGATTTTTTTTTTTTAGAGACAGAGTCTCTCTATGTTGCTTAAGCTGGTCAAGATTTCATTTTCTAGTGGCTGAGTCATATTCCATTATGTATATGTACCATATTTTCTTTAACCACTCATCCACTGATGGACAATTAAGTTGATTCCATATCTTCGTTGTTGGGTATAGTGCTGTAATAAGTATTGGGATGCAGGTATCTCTTCAATTTCCTTTATTTTGGATATGCAACCAGCAGTGGGATTGCTGGACCATATGGTAGCTTTGTTTTTAGTTTCTATGATGGCTACCAGAGGTTGGGAAGGGAAATAGGGAGGAGGAGATAAAGAGAGAATAGTTAATAGGTAGAAAAATACAGTTAGAAGAAATAAGATCCAGTGTTTGGTGGCGTATTAGGACAACTATAATTGACAATAATTTATTGTAATTCCAAAATAACTAAAAGGATGGTATTGGAATGTTTTAAACACAAAGAAATGGTAAACACTTGAGGTGATGCATATCCTAGTGACTTTGAATTGACCATTGCACCTTGTATGTTTGTATCAAAATGGTACATGTGCCCTGAGAATTTGTACAACTATTATGTGTCCATAGTAATTAAAAATGTAAGAACCATTAGAATCATGTTTCTAGGCAATATTGCTACAGGAATGACAGAATTTTGAAAATCTTTAGAATGAATTTTTCTTCTGTTGTTCAGAACATCTAGTTTGTCCTAAATTGTGAAAGAATTAACTCTTCTATTGATTTATCCACCCATCAAGTGAGAATACTGAGTTTCAAAATGTGCCAGGCATTTTTCTAGAACAAAACTTTAGTGACAAACAAAATACCACAAGATGAAAAGAGTTCTACAAATGAGTAATGGTGATAATCACAAAACATTATGAGTGTATTTTGATCCCACTAAACTGTATACTTACAATGATTACTATAATGAACTTTATGTCATGGATATGTGACCACAATAAAAAAAAAATTTGGAAAACAAAAGCATGATGACTCACTTCTGTTGAAGCAAAGCCAACGCCACCATTGTATGACCTTGGAGTATAAGGGGCTGACATGGGCTGAAGGTGTCAATAATACTAAACTTGACCTTTGAATAACCCGAGGTATTTGAAAATTCGAATAGTATGATTATCAAACAAGTGATATAAATTTGGCAGGGTGTGGTGGTTCATTCTGTAATCCCAGTTCTTTGAGAGGCCAAAATAGGAGGGTTACTTGAGGCAGGAGTTCCAGACCAGCCTGGTCAACATAGCTAATCCTTGTCTCCACAAACAATTTTTTAAAAAATCAACTATATTCTATTTAAAATGTCGTTACAATTTTATTCTGCAGAGACATTCAATTTGGCACAAGAATAACATAGTCACGGGGTATGTAAAACTCCATCACTTTTGATGGCACCCAAGCAGTGTATAAATAGCATAAAGAGTGGAAGATTATTCTTGTCACTGGAGTCTCACCCTCACAATCTTTAACTGACTAAGTAGTTGCAAGAGCCAGTCACAAAGTTTGAAAGAAAATTTAAAGCTTTTGGATTAAAAAATGTTGACAGAAAAATAAAATAACCCATTGTGCCTAAATATACCATGTAAACATCAGATTTTTCTTTGTTTTGCAAAAAATAGTTCTGTAGCATGTACGTCTAACAATGTGAATGCCTTAATTCAAAATTCAGCAGAAAAAGCAGAGCACACCTGGATTGTCAGAATGTGCAGAGAGCACGGGAATTTCTCATTGCCATGTCAGAATCGCCTATGAATGATCTTTGTTCTGAGTCAGACAAAGGGCCAAAAAGAAATCTGAACGTCTTGTTGGCTGACATGTTGTTGAGAGAACTCTACGACAGCTGATCATTCCTTGTGGGTGGGGGGAACGGGGCTGTTTCTCAGTCACCTAGTAGGTAAATTGCACTATTGTTTCAAAACCTAGGTCACAGCTGATTTTTTTAAAAGTCATTTTCTTACCCGACACTTTGATAAGCTCTGATTATTATTTCTTTGATCGACTGATAATCTGAGAGCAAATATGAGAGCTCTGTGATCTTAGACAATATTTTAGAGAAAGGGATTCTTATACTTTGTTTTTGTTTGTTGTTGTGTTATTGAGATTACAACCAAACGGTAAGACACATATTTCAAAGTCTAAGTAAAATATTGACATGCAAACCAATCAATTAAAAATATGCAAGATCCTTATGAAAAAAATTAGAAACTGAAAATACATTTTCAAGATGCCTGTAAAAATTATCAAAGCAATTAGAAGGAATCATTATAAATAAAATTAAAAATAAAAATGGAAACATTATTGGTGGTTTTTATTGTATTTTTTACAAAGCTGAGCCAATACATATAGCAAGTATTCTTTTATTAAATCAAAAGTCATCAAAAATATTTAAACAATACTATGGAATTATATGAATTAGCCCTACTTAAAATAGAATCTTCAGTAAGACAAGCATGTTTTGATTCACATCATTAAACTTCCTAATTCCAAATTTAAAGCCTACTTATAAATTTTAAATAGAACTCTATTCACAAACCATGGTACTTATTGATTTATTACCAACTGATTGTTGAGTAACAAACACACTCTAGACACGTTTGGAACATGAACACCAAATTAGCACTGACCAAGAAAGACAAGAACCCTGCTTACACCTGTTTTTTATTTATTGAAAGTCTGAATTTTGATTTCAGCTTTCAAATTTGTTTAAAATGTATTATTTTTGTTTGATCAAAGAGAATACTCTCTTTTTTATTTAATTTTAAGGAAAAAAAAATTTTTTGGTATATTAGGGGAATTGGAGGAAAGACCAAACAGTAACTACATATGAACTTCTACAGGATAAGGGTACCTGTGTAATTCATCTGTGTTCGACTATGGTGACTAGGAATTGATGACTTTTCTGTGGGTTGGTATTCTATTTTTAGGGTTACCTTCACTGTTCTGCTACTAAGCCAAAATTGTCCTTGTTTCTTTAGCTGACTTACGCCCTGGTTCTCCTATCTGAATATATCCAAAATAAAACTATTTTTCCTTCAGGATATGAGTCTATGATCCCTGATCCACAATTCAAAAATCCAAAGGTTTTGAAAGTTGAAAATTATTTTGCATGTTTGACACAAGTTTATTTGGTAGCAAAAGTTAATCCAAACAAATAAAGCTATCTGTGGTCTTGAATAAATTTAGCATAATTGTTTATATGTTCAATTACAAAATTACTAATGTATATTGCAGGATACTACTGCTTATGTTGTGTAATACACAGTATATGTACCATATTACATCTATACAATTTTTAAAATCTGAATTATGGAACATATCTGACTCAAGATTTTCACATGAGGAATTTTTCATATGAGCGTTTGTAGAAATTTTACATATTTTTTAAAGAGACAGATCTTGTTATGTTGCCCATGTTGGTTTGAAACACCTGGGCCCAAGTGATCCTCCCACCTCAGCCTCCCAAGTAGTTTGGACTACAGGAGTGAGCCACCACACTCATCATGTGAAATTTTACAATTTTTAAAGAAAACTATGTCCCTCTTTATCTTCATTGCTCTGAAAAACTATTTCATAAAAGACTTCACTTAGTAAACTGACTCATGACTGTTATGTTTAAATTGTGGATGAGAAGAAGAGGAAAATGCAGGCTTATCAATTGTAAAACATGTACCACTCTCGTGGTAGATGTTGATAGTGACGGAGTTTATCCACGTGTAGGGGCAACAAAGCACATTTTTTTCTCTTTGCACTTTCCACTCGGTTTTGGTGTGAATCTGAAACTGCTTTTTTAAAAAAAGTATATATTTTTTAAAAAGGCTGAACATGGTGGCTCAAGCCTATAATCCCAACACTTTGGAGGCCGAGGTGAGAGGATTGCCTGAGCACCAGGGGTTCGAGACCAGCCCGGGCAACTTGGTGAGACATCGTCTCTACAATAAATCGAAAATAAGCTTGGCAAGGTAGTGCACACCTGTGGTTCCGGCTCCTTGGAAGGCTGAGGCAGAAGGATCGCTGGAGCCCAGCAGGTCGACACTGGGGTGGCCATGAGTATGCCACTACCCTCCAGTCTGGGCGACGGAGTGAGACTCCGACTCAACCAAACAAAACATAAAAACACACGAATAAGTTTAACCATTGCTGGATCATAGCAAATGGTGCTGTCCTTGGGCAGCCTCTGACATAAGATTCAACTCACATAACATTATTGAT